AGAAGACAATTCTCTGCAAAATTAACTACCCTATAGCAAACATCCCTCGATCCACCAAACAGGAACCCGAATGAAAACCTCAACCCTTGAAATTAGTAACAATGATATCCAACAGAGGAATCATCGCGATATCTGTAGGTCCCAACGCAAATTCCGATATTAGTCCAACTAATCTCTTACACCCAGCATCCCTGCTGTCTATGCTCCAAAGGTCAACCTCATAGATAGCTGCAAGAGATGCACGCACACAGCGAAGCAAAACGGCGCAACGTCAAAGCCCTGTCAAAAACGATCCTCGCTGCCCATCGATCAAGGGTTATCCCTTAAAACAGCGCAAAGTGCAGTAGCAAGCACACGAGAGGGTGCTCGATACGGTCCCGATTGGCATGCCATTATGTCGACAGCCGATCACCTAACCCAGCACCCGGCGTTCCGTCTATTGACAACTGCATTGTCTCGCGGGCTGACATTGGCTTTATTCGCTCACAGCGATTGGCAGCGACGTAATAATTGTCGACGCGCAATCTGCATTTCCCCGATGGGAAACGATACGCGATACAACGGCCGTCATTGTCTCTGTGCCGACGCCGCGAGCGTCGCGGCGCGTTCTATCGCGAAATGCTAAACGTTACTCGCCTCGATGACCGATTTTTCATCTTCCCAGCGTTTTTCCCTTTTTTCCTTTCTTTTTCTATTTCCTTTCCCCCAGCTGGCATTTCACAGCGGAATCGACGTGTATTTGCACCGACAAGGAAGAAAGAGAATTTTCAATGGCTGTCATTCGGGATGGCTAATGGGTCATTTCATCGGCGAGGATTTGTTTCGGTCGATTTGTAACTGATTTTGGTACATTCAGCGATAGCTTAGAGAATTTGTTTGGAATTCGTGATCCGAATATTCTGTTCCTCGAAACTTCTATTATCCGAATTGCAAATATATTTCACGGGGGTTTGTGTACCACCTTGAAAATGACGTTTATCGTGGAAATCGGGAACCGTTTGCTGCAGCATAGCAGTAAAGTCTTATATCTGTGAGGAATAACGATGGAGAACATGAATATAATCATGATTATAACGTAGCCAGATATTCTCGAGCAGTCGAGGCTTTAGAAATGGAGCTGAGATGGTATGGGGTATAAAAGGGATGCAATCATACTAAATTAATCCATTAACTGTCAAATTTCTTTTTTCGAAATTTTTCGCCGGATAAGTTATATATATGCACGAAAGGTTGTATAACAGTATAATTATATTCAAATTATATTTTGTTTTGAAAATATTTGATATTTTTAAAAAAAGTCCCAAATGGGGACTGTGGCAGATTGCATGAAAGAAAACTAATAAGAAACTATTTCTTTTCTTATATGCGTTATCTTATACATACTATAATCTCTAAATGACATATTTATGTACGATATTTCATTATAATATAAAAACCATACCAAAAATATAATGCTTCAAATATGACGATTCTGTTCCGTTCAAATTACACACGAATTTCAAATTTGTTCGCTTGTTGCATAGAAACGAAGCACAGAGTAGACACGTTTTGCTACATACAATATTGACTGATATATATTATATAGAATAAAACTAAACTGTCATGCGTACCAAATACATTTTTAGCGCCGAGTGGTGTACATAAAATTCCAAAATCCCCAAATGGGTATCGTGGCAGCTAATGGGTTAAATTGACTAAAAACGTTGCGCGATTTAGCAGATAATTTGTAGAAAATTCGGGATACACGAATTTTCAACCAAATTAGATTTAAATTATTAAATTGCAAAATCGAGTATTCTATTAATAAATTCTCTCATCGGAACGCTTATAATCCCCGATTAATTCGAATAACAGAGGTTCCACTGTACTTGTGCACATTTTGCGATCCGTTGGTGCCCATAAACGGAATTCTTGATCGAGCTATCGATATTCTATGATCTTCTCGATTCTCGCGTATTTTTGTTGGTTCGCGCAATGATCAAAGTGTTTCTCTCAACGTTCCGAGCTAGCATTCCGTTCGTCCTGTGTTTTACTCATTCATAGTGATTCGTTACGAATTTGATAGACGAATTTTCGAGATAACAAGTATCGACGTTCCACGCGAATTTTGTCTTGTGTATGTATCGAATGCCCCCGTACGATGGTCAAAGAGTTAATTTTCGCTTCCGAATAAAATAATATTCGTCCGATCTTCGGGTGGTTTCCTCGAAACTTGTCAACGAGGATTCTAATTTGAACGTGGAAAATATTTCCCTCGATTCTTTATTTTCCCAGGTTCCCCGTCATATTGAACCCGCACGCGTACACGTGTAAACACCAATATTCGCATTAGCAAAGGAACTTGGCAGTTTCACGAGCACTCAAAAGGACCCAGGTCTTCCTCGCAGAGATTCTTTGCTGAAATTTCCCGACTATAAACAGGTTGTGCATATCTGAATAATAACCAATTTAACTACGTTTTGTTGTACATTTTTACCGCAAACCCTATAGTTGACGTATTTTTACGCTATTACTAATCTTCTTTGAAATTTCTTCTATCCGAGAGGATTTATAAGGCGAGAAGATGAAAGTTCAAAGCACTCTATCCTGTTCAAGATGCCATAAGGAAGGAAGTTTAGGGGAAGTTTCAGGTAGACGAGAAATGGGAGGGTGGAAGTTTGCTCGTAAGGGTTGCGTGATTTTTCACATTTCTGTTTTCTGCGTGCACGATACCCTCGTAGTCTAGTTTCCCTTTTCTCACTTTCCTCCCCTTTCTTTTTCGGAACTCGACGGTAACCGATGTCTCATAAATTCAAGACACGAAGTTAGCGTGACAAATGTATAACTCGTGAATCCAGTTGTACTACGGTGTACTGGAACTATAGTTACAGCTTTAGTTCAAATAGAACAATATGATTCGAAACTGCAACGTGGACAATCTGTCCTAGATGAATTGTTACAGCTATTCATTCGTTAACTGTCTTACAGCGATACTGACCTTTCGGTCGTCGCAAGGTTTACTGGTTCTTGTGAATTATGGGAGTATACTCGGCATAATTACGCGACGGTATTGTCACTAGTCATAATTCGAAAATTTTACTCTACGTATCTGTATTTTACAATTTTGCAAATAATTTTAGCTCGAACGTATTATTATATTCTCTCGTATTTACATGCTATTTTATTATTCTTGCGCGAAATGATTTATTTATTTACAGCAATTATTGATTACCAGTAATTTATAAATAACTTTGACTCTATCGCATTACTGATTTTATTTTATTTTGTTTCACTAGTATTTTATTATCCTCGCACCGAAAGATTTATTTATTTATCCCTTTCGGCGCAAACTCGAAAATGTTACAGAAGGTTTAATTTGCTGTAAATGAATTTTACAACGAAATTATGCAAATAATTTAATCGTTAATCGTTAATTGCAGCAATTGTACGTTTATTTGCACAAGCCGGAATAAGCAATTAACTGTTTTGATAATAAACTATACGTTCAGGTATCTGTACGTCATAATGTATCGCGGTAATTAGCCACCATAAATAAACGGTAACTAAATAAACAGTGACAAACGAAATTGTTCTTACCTTGATTCGAACCATCATGTTCAGGTGGCCTTGACTATACTGTTCGATCACATCGCGCACGTCGTACGGTTTCCGTGCTTGCTGGAACTTCCTCCTGGCCACGAAGTACTTGATCTTCCTGATTGCCCTTATGGCATTTCGATGTGCTTCCGTTAGCCTGAAAAGCACGGTAATTCTATTTTTAACAAATTTCGTCAAAAGCAATTCGTTTCCAAGTAAAATCCTAGTCGCATTTCTTTATCTTTCTCACGTGGACATAATTCACGTGCAACTTTTAATCTAACATAAATAAAGAACATTTCTATTTCGTATCTTGATTCCAAAAATTATTTACTATTTACTATTCACACCATAAAGAATATTAATTCCCTTTCCAAATTTATCGTGAAAATCGGGCACAGTAAAGTGATCGAAATTTAGGAAACCGGAGATGGAGCTTGATTCGTAAATAAGACACGAAGAAGTCAAAGGAAGAAGAGTTCCAGAGAAGATTCGCGTTACTGCTGTAGGATATTTTTAGGCATTATTAGGACACAATGATCGAAAGTATTCCTGCAGGGAACACTAAGCCAAGTTCAGAGGACCCGTTAGGGTCTGGCTGTCAGATAGGTCATAGGGGGTCGGGGCCAGGCCACATGGGATGGCCTAGCACAACCCCGGCTTTCCTCGTCGTAAACCGAGGGTGACCTTTCGGAGAGTCTAAGCCGAAAGGAGGAGTCTCTTCTACCCCTAAACTTGGAGTAGAGGGAGTTTTCTCCTCCTTCTGGGGAGGCCCTTGCCTTTCAGACGGTCTTAAAAGGGTCCGTTCTGGAAAATAGAGTATAACTGTTTTTAGTTCGTGAAGAGTTGTGTAGTTCGTTAAGAGCTTTATAAGAGTCTTTTAAGAGCGAGTCTAATAAGAGTTGTTCGTTATTAGTAGCAATCTTTAAGAGTTAGTTAGAGTTGAGATCAAGTCAGATCCAGTCCTTAGTCTGCGGAAATTTTAGAGCAGAAATACTCTCCAGCATATGTGTGACTCTACATTGCTTCGACACTGATATCGTAAAATAATTACTGGCCAAAAAGGAAGACGACATCGACCATCGATCGTTGGCGTAAGTTCACCTATCGATATTCCAAATTACACGAAAACACTCTTCGCTGTCGGTTCACGATTCTGCTAGCTGGTTTAGACGACACGCGTACCATTCACCTACCCTCTCCGGTTCACAGGGCCATTCTCGAGAAGAGTGTTCGTTCCTCGGTTGTTTACGATTCAACGCTGCTTTGCCATGAGCAAAGACGCTTTCTCGACGCGGAACGTAAATGGGACAAGGAGGATTTTGTATACTCCTTCTGGGAGGAGATTCGCGTTACTCGAACGACCTCGACGATGGTACCTTCTCGACGTTTGTTACCGTCGGTATTTCATGGCGCGAGTTTACGCGAAACCATGCGATGTTTGTTGGCTGTTTTTTCATATATACTGCCGCGAAACTCTACAGAATCACTAACTTTCCTCTCATTTTCTATCGTGATCGAAATAAGGAATTTAAATATTCAGTGGTTTTTAATCGAGATACTATTAGAATGGGTAAACTGACTATGTGTATGCTGCCTATAGATTATAGAGGAATTTTAATTCATTGCATATATTAGTTTGTGTTTGTATATTGTTCTGTAGATGTGTAATGGAAGATTGGCGTGAAGTTCAATTTTAATTTACAGATTCGTATAATAATATTTATTTACAAATATTTTTGTAAACATAAAATATGTGTATTAAGACATGACATTGGTTATTGGAAATGTTTAAAAGAACGAGCAATGGAATTTAAATTGGTTATCTGTTTATATGTCTCAGTGTAAATGTTTGTTTAAAATGGAATGTTAAATTGTTGGTATAATTTCGATATTTTAATTAACAATTAAGTAAGAGGCATTTCCTTGGTCTTGTTTGGACAACTATATTAAGAGGATTTTATATATACTAGACAAACTGTCAACAGAAATTCTAATACTAAAGTTTCGTCGAATGTAAAAATGTCACGGTTCCTTTAACTTTTTCGAGACTAAAAATCATTATGAATAAAATAATATTTGTCTTTTCATCTGGCAGAAAGCACCGTCGACATTTACCCGAGGCAAAGTTTCAGTGGAATCAGCAGTTGCCGGAGCACGAATGCTACACTCGCGCTACTCGCTACTTTCATCCATTGAACATATAAAAATAATGTAAAGAGAAATTTAAAGAATTTTATTAAAAATCCCTAGTAAAAAATTACCTGGAGGTTTGTATGAATTAAATAGACAAGTTTAAGTATGGAGAATACACGCAGTAATTATGAAACTAAATTTTCCCAATAAAAAAACAAATATAATATTCCAAAAATAAATTCTCACTATAAAATCATTGCGATTAAGCAGATATAAGCCTTGGTCATAAAATCTGTCGTTCGAAATAAATTTAATAAAATTAATCTTCCTGTCTACCATTTGGTTGACTTGTATCACTTAACGCATTGACCTCCCGTGCATTACAGTTTCTACATTTACTACATTACAGTTTCAAACTTATACGAATTAAAACAACTCCGCGAAAACGACAGATTTAATTACTGAACCTCTACCAAAATAATAATATCTTCAATCAATGATAAATAACTATTTTTTAACCAATATTATACCACAATAATTCCCCACATACAGAAATTAAAATAACTTCATTATATACCATCAATCAAACTTTGTAATACAATGCATACAAGTAAAATCGAATTCATATACTCCAATCCCCATCTAAACATCCACTTTAACCCCAATCCGGTATTTAAATACACCCCTTCGAACCACATTCGGACCAAAAATCCATCACGTCATCTACGTTTCGTACTTCCTGAGAAACTGACACTAAATCTTCGCGTTTTCCTGCGACAATTCAACCACCCAATTTCCCAACCCATCGTTCGCGTGTCGAAGATGCTTAATTCGCGGTAGAAATTGGAGTGGCTCGACAAAACGGTCGACTATTCGGCTGCTATTTTCACAAACGATTTCACGTTTCAGCGACAAAGCGAGGCAAACTCGCGCTTCGTGACGAAAGCGAGAACGAAGTGGGTGAGGGTTGAACGGGGAGGGTGGAAAAAAGGGAAAAAAAAGAGAAAACATAGAGACGCGGACCGCGCATCAAACTCGAGGGATGCGCGTCGCGGCGCCGCGAGAAGAAGAGGAGAAAGAGAGAAACTCCGAACGCGACTTGTCTTTGTGTCGGAGGTTCGAGTGCTAGGCTTGCAAAGGATATAGGCCGTCCGTGAAGCGAAGTAATGCACCGGTGAAAAAAGCACTTACGTGTCGTGCTTTTCGAAAGAGAGAGGAGAAAAGAGAGGGAGATACAGACGAACGGAGAGAGGGAGAGTGAGAGAAGCTTTTCACGAGAGCTGCCGCGAGGTAACGCTCCATTCCGCTTTTGAGAATGGAGACTCCCTCGAAATGTCAATGCCACGTGCTTGGGATCTGCTTTCGAAGATGTGGCTGGCTTTGCTATAGCTCTGATCGCGAGGGTGATTCTTTGTGAAAATAATATTCTCCAAAAAGCGATTTATTTGGTAGAGTGAATGGGAGAAAACGTATAGTGAAACCATTGTCTAGCGGGTTAGTCTACATAGCGAATATAGTGTATTCCATGAGACTGGTAAGTTGGTAACCGGAAGTAACGTGGGTCTGATTGATTATAGTGAAGTAAGATTACACTCGTCAACTCGTCCAACCACTGTATCGTATATATACGTCGGGACAAAAGATTTTTATTTACCAATTACATGTACTTACAGATTATCAGGTTGCTTGTGCATCTCAATGTTTATGTTACATATCTTGATCCGCATACCGTGCTAGTCCTAAAATTGATTCATCGAATTAACCCCCTACACTGCGATTTAATTATGAAAAATTATACATGGAAATAGTATTTCTATTTCTATTTCCTCCATGATGAAATAAGATTAAAATTTTAGAAAGTCGTTAAATTTTACGCACGTTAAAGCTTATAATTATGATATTTGACATGAAGAACCCGTCACTGGAGTGTAAAGTATCAATCGACTTTCAGATTATATACATAATCGCGTTCAATCCCACGGTGAAATCGATCTTTGATTTACCAATTTACCAGTTACATATGCCTCAGAAAATTTGCGTCATCGTGAAAGAGGATTTTAATATCGAATTGTGACGTTCAAGGGGTTAAGATAACTGTGAAGATGAAACATATGAATCTTCATTACCGGTTGCAGGTGTCACATCTAGAAATGGAATTATATTGCACTAGGTGATAAAGAGAGTAAACAGGGATACATCGAGACAAGAACTACACTTTGGTGGAGATACAGGATCAGTGTTAATTATTTAATAAAATACACGATTTGTGCTGTTACCATGTCAGAATGTGCTGTCAAGAGACTAAGAGAATAGATTTCAGGAGCATCAAAGACAGAAGGAAGAGAATATTCTTTTTACCCTTGTGTCGTCGCGACTACCAAGTTAGAAGGCTCGTACAGTACTGGTCAGTAGAGGTACTTTTAGGAAGAAGAAATGGAGTATCAGAGTTGTGTAACAAGACCGCGATACCAATTCTTCTGTTGGAACAAAGATTTGACTGAAAATATAGCTGAGAAGGTGAAGGATTTCGAGAAAATTTACTATCAACGTGACAAAATTTAATTTGAAAGTATTTTGGGGTATCGCGAATCGTGCTAAATCAAAATAAATTGATAAATTTAACGATTCGATTTTTATTTAGCTAGACTATCCAAAGATAGTAGTTACTGCTGAGTATTTACAGTGAATTTGTTATTACGAACTTTGTTGGAAATTTTTTAATTACGAGTACATAGCGTGACAGACGTTGTGTATCACCCTGTGTATTCCAGGTGTTTCTACGAGTCGTGTACGACCCTGGGTGTCGTTATAGCGATCGGTACAGCCACGATGTTTTAATTTACGACCACACTATATTTGTCTCGTTGGCTGTAAGCGAATTCTGTGCTGTGAAAGTGGAATTCGGATGTTCTATTACACATCGGGAATGTAGGTTGATTGTGGTATTTTGGAAGGAATAATTGATACGGTTTCCGTAATGTTTCTTACAGGGAGAATGAAGATAAGGATCGAAACGTTTTATTTTACTTCTTCGATATATAATAATCATTATCCCTATTTATTTACCACGTTCGTTGTGTCGACAGCCATATAATTATTTTAATTATTTTGTACCTATTTGAAACGATCATTTTTATGATAGATATATTTATCTGTAAAATACTCCAACTATTTGAAAGAAAGATCCATCGATTGTTAGATAATGATTTTAAGTCCTTAAGGACCTCTCCTTCACCTTTCGCTTATTTTAAAATTCCGGCAAAAGTGTAAAATGGAACGCAAGTTCAAGGGAATCGTTAAAATCTCGCGAAGAGAAAAGAATAATTCAGTTACACGAGTTTTTTGAAATAACATCAAACTGTTTGAATATTCGACGTAAAAAAGCAAGTACGAAGTTAAACTTAGTTATTACTTTTACTTCTCTCACATTCTTGACCTTTTCACCGACTTTCTGCAATTCCCCATGTATTCACCCCTTTAACTACCATCGTATATACTCGACGTTTCCAATACCATTACAAATCAAATTCCAATATTCTGTACCTTTATATCCAACCAGAATTCAAGTAGACCTCATTAAGATAAAATACAACGAGATTCACACTTGACACGAAAGTCTTTAAAAAAGTCCAACGAATGATTTTCCATTTGTCAAAACAACCCTAAAATCTAAACCTATAAATTCTTGGGAAAATGATTCAAGACTGGTAAAGAACTATAATACGAAAAACTGGAAATTCCGTGAAAGAAGAAATTTCGATTTTCCCATTGGATAAGACTAAACAGGATTTTCAATAAGGCCAAAATATTTTTGGTCGTGTGAGACTTATATTATTTATCATATTACTCAAACATAGTTTGCATATTTAAAAATAATTAAAGTCGATATAATAAAAATATGTACATGTAAGATGTATTTAAATTTATTTACGCGTATGTGGTAAAATATATTAAAAGTACTCGAGAAAATATTACAATTTTTTTGTTCTCGCCTCTGTTTCGACGTTCAACGAAAATTTCAGTAAAAATAGCTGAACGCTTGTAACATCTCGGGAAAGAAACATTTAAAATCCTGTAAACATTTTGCCCGTTTGATAATTCCAGTAACGCCTCTTTCCAAGATGAATCTATAAATTCAAAATAGGATAATTTCCATAACCCGTATAAAGTCTGGTACAGTGGTATTAAAAAGGGCTTACGCGACACAAACAAACGAGATTAATCCCGTCTGGTACCAAAATTCCCTTTAACTCCATAAAACGAATCACCATCGCGCGGTTTGCATTGAACACCGAGCCGCGGCCGCGTGGAAATTTCTCCTCGCCGCACGCTTTACATACTTCCTTTGCGGCGGTTTTGAGAGGATCGATTGTGTAGCAGAAAGATTATGAATCGCGACGCGTTTAACATTAACGAGATCTGGTTGGTCGTTGAATCGAATGTACGCCGTACGTTGCCGTTTAGAGCCGTTTCGCGTATTACAAAGGCCGCACGTGCTGGACGAAAATTCTCCGGTTAATATCGATTCCGCATGCAAAATTGAGAGTAATTTGCATGAAGATATAGGCTTTCTCGGCTCTTGCTCGCGCCTTCATTTCGCCCCCGTTGTTATCAGGCTCGACGTGCAAACGAAAAAGAGTTGACTCATACACGGATTTTCCAAGGAGATCCGTCTACGTATCGAGGAAAACCGTTTCACGAATTTCGTGGTAGAAATTAGGAAGTGAGAAACGTCTTGGGAAATCTTGGATTTTTCGTTTAATACGTTTCTTTTAGGCAACGCGTGTTTCTGATAGTTAGCCGACCTAGATAGTGCTGGATAACCTAATTGACGTGTCCGCTAGCAGACGAAACGCATCATCCTATCCTTTCCCTTCCTTCGTTCAAAAATAGCCCCGTACTCTTCGACGCGAAGGGCACGCCTCGTTAATCACACCTATTCTATGTACATAATTGTAAATAACTGATTAACTATTTTCAAATTTACAACAGTTTTAAATCAATTTTATTAAGACCCGAGATTTTCCTTATTTAGTGTATTTATTCTGTTTAACCTCTTACCCTGCGGTTTGAGTTCCGATGGCCCGTGCCATGATCAACAAGGACGTCGAACATGTGGAGACACGACGAAAATTAACCACGAGTCTGACCAGTGTTGTTTACTTTTAGACCACGGCTCTCATGTTTGACCCAATTACCTTACTACGAGTCTCGATACTGTATCGAATTTTACCCTATTTTTTATAGTTTTTTTTATTATTAGTTTATTTTTTAATAGTTTTAGGTAAGGGCAGAATCAAGCTCTTTCTCAAAATATAAATATTGAAATGAAAGATAACGTAATAGGGGCTATGAAGCTTTGTTGTTAGAAAAATGTTATTGACTGAAATGTGCTTGAGATTAAACTTCTATTTTTCTCATGGGACTTCTAATAAGAATTAATATAACAGAGTTTCGATCAGACATATTCTCTAGTCCTGAACATTCTTCGATACACACTAATTCAGTCAAATATATCGGTAATTATTTGTATTCCATGTAATTTTGAAAAAATAATTAATATATTTTCCAATATTAAAACTACTTAATAAACTCAGTATTACATTTACATCTCTAACAATAAGAAATACTTGCAAAGATTTCTATTTAATTACTGTTCGACATATTAGAAGCTGAGGACCTCATTTTGAAAAAAGAATCCTTCTTGCACTCTAGATCATTAATTTCCCAATTATTGCATTTTTATGGTCTCCCTTGATAGTGAGATAAAGTTTGCGAAAAAATAGTTTCAATTTCGAATATTTCGAAACACGATTTTACAAAGGGACCCTTTTTCCAAAGAGCTGCTGGATTACATACTTGCAACTTTATTCGAGTTTTCAAGTAGTACTACAAGTTTTACGATATATACCACACTTCAAGCGTCAACCAGGAAAATGTCAACTCGATCTTTCTCTTAATTCACTCGATCAATTCCTCAAAGTAGCAATTGAGAGTACAGGAAACATTTCGTTTCCTTTGTTAAGCTTCTTCTCAGTAAAACGCTTCTAGCGCATTTTTGCGCGAAAATCTGGCAAGATGACAGAAGGAAAAGCGTACTTACGTGGTGACCCTCTGCGGTTCCTCGATGTCAATGTCAATTTCGTCACTGGTGGCCTCCGTGACGGAGCTCGTCTGCGAGGTGAAGAGGCTTCCCCTGCCAACCGGAAATACGCTACTCACACTACCAAACTCGAGAACTAGTTCGTTCGACGTTCAAAGCCGCTCTAGAGAAAGTGCCCTTCAGCCAGCTGACGTTTCCTGTCACGCCAACTTTCCCCAACCAGCTATTATTTCCCCGCGAAATTTCCAAAGATTTTCCCAGCTCCAGCCTCTTACGCACACCTCGAAAATCCCTGCTCCATTTCACCGATACTTGATGCGAGTAATTAGCAAACGAGACTTTTCCTTTTTTCTTTTTTCAAAAACCGTCTATCAAGTGAAGGCTGACGGGTCGATTTTTAGAAAAATTTTCACGCCTCGATAGGGATAAAATTGTTTTCGAATGGATATTTAGCACTGTATTGTTGGGTGTTAAGGATTTCATGGAGCGCTGTTTTTAACTGTTAAAAGAAGATTTTGGATCGAATAGAAAAAAGGATTGTAGAGGAAAGAGAAAATTTTTAAAGGCTTCGGAAGTTGAATATAAGAACTAATAATTTAAAAATAAAATTCTCGAAGAGAAATAAAATTCCCGGATTAAACGGGATAGTAAATTAATGGAAAAGAAAAATTTGGATTACATAGAAAAGTAAGTTGCTTCTAAGAGGAAATTCTTGAAGAAACTTTTGCTCTTTGAATGGATTAATTAATTCCTCAAAGAACTTTTTGAAGATTTTAAGTACGATAAGAAAACGAGTGCAAGGTTAATGTCTCTTGGAAAGATTATAGATCCAATAGAATACTAAATGGCTTGAAGAAGAAATTGTTGAAGAGAATTTCGAATTAAATAAGAAGTAAGATGATTAAGGTTGAAAATCTAATGAAAGATTTCAAATCGGATAAAAAACAAAAATCAAGTTATTTAAAAGGAGAATTTTTGAAGATTGTGAATCGCATAGGGGAATGAGTTGCCTGAGGAGAAAATTCTTGGAGAAAAGTTTGCATCGAATGGAAAAGTGGCTTGCTTAAGAAGCATTCTTGAGGAAAGTTTCTGGATCGAATAAAGACGTGAACTGCGTGTGTGTGAAACTGGAATTTATGTGTTCTACACTAAAAACATATGCGTATTGTTTCTGATATTTTGAAGGAAATAATTGACACAAGGATTCTGTGAAGGTTACTTCTCTAATTCCACAATACAAGTGCGAATAAAGATTTTTTCTGAATACAAAATGTTAGAATTAATTTGTGCAGTATAAAATATGAAAATACGATAATAAAAACATTTTGTGGTATCTTATGGTGGTAAAAATGGATTAAAAGTGAAATTTCGAAAGACAGATGCTACAGAGGTCTCGATTTGCACTAAAGATTAGACAGAGAATCAAAAATTTTGTAAGAAACTTTGCAAGATATAAAGAGAAATAACGTGTATGTGCTTCGAAGACGAAAATTGACAAGTTATACGCATACGTGCATTGTACGTTGCTTTAACGTGAACGGTCAATTATGGAAGAATATATCGAAAGCAATGTATAACGAGAGTTTACTTGGAGAATAACGTTTAAAATGTGCGTGTGGTGGATGATGCTCGAAACTGGGCTATCAAGCTTTTTAATATTAATTTAATAAGCCTTACGTTAGTCGGCTTCCGAGCTTCTCTCTAGAGCAAATTACAAAATTAAGCAACCGAATTAAAGGAACAACAGTACTGTAAAAATGTGAAAAATACACACGAGGTATACGCGAATAAATACAATTACATAATTATATTCTTATCTCATACTGGTATTAATATAATAAATCCTATCACAAAAGTTATTTAAACTTTTCATTTAACCTGATTATTCAGTCGTATTTATGCACCGTAAAAATGAAATATTGCGAAATTTCGTGGTAATGCAGTAAATGCATAATATTATTTTTCATTACAATGCAACAGTAGTATAATTTGCTCGTTCCTTTGAAACAGAAATATAAATTCTCGAGACATTCTCTTTCAACGAAACCCTTAAAATGACTATGATAATTCCCTTTATACCATTCTTCATTTCCATGCAATCAAAATGTTTAAGATGCACGAATATTTACCCATCAAGCCTTGAAAGCTATTACGAGCGAGACTTCACCTTCTGCAAATTTTGTTTTTAGAAAAATATGGTTCCCAGATGGCCCAAATCTTGATATAACCATTTCTATTATAATAACATAAAATCATCTTTTCAGAGTTGGTCAGATAAAAAGATTAAATAATTGTACCATAATTAATTTCTGAATTTATTTCTGACTAATTTCTGAAAGGCGAAACTTGTAATATCCCCAAACAAAATAAACGACTCCAACTATTTACTTTCACGATCATTCTCACGATTAACCCTTTGCACTCGAGAGGTGATTTTCCGTCACCATTTAATCAGATTCTAAAGATCGACGTTAATTAATATATCAAATTTAAAATTATCTAACGATGTGTGGAATGTGGAAGAAAAATAATTCTACGTCTTAATTTGCATATGATTTCTCATTTACCATTTTAAAAATATCGTCGATTCTATGACAGAAAGTCTTCGAATTACTATTTTTCTGTAACGAAAAAGTCGTCGAGTGCAAAGGGTTAATAGCTGACTATGATCAACAAACGAAATGTCGTTTCACTAAAATCCCCGTTATTAACTCTATCCGGTGCTCTTCACTCAAAAATGATTCACCAATTGAACTCTAAAATTCTAAAGCATCGAAGCGGAGTGACACGCAACTACTATGGCCGAAATAGATTAAAATCGATGCAGAGGAACGTTTCGCCGTTTTTTATTTTTTTTCTTTCTCTTTCCTTCTCCATCTCCAGATCAGCGTTAAAAAGTTTCGACGGGAAATCTCTAGCGTCCCGACGAGATTGAAGGTTCGCTATAGCACGCGGTTAGAGTTTCCGTAAATCGTGAAACTTCAAAATGGAGCTTCGGGTGCCATCGACCTCAAGTATGCAAATTACCCGCGACTCTTTACCGCTGAGAATTCGCGTTTCTTTTCACGGGATGCTCGCGTCCTCTGTGGGTAACGTCGCGAAGATTGCTGACGCAGAATCGTCTCAGAAAATGTCAAGGATTCGGAATAAACGTGGATAATTCGTAAATGTAAATAACGAGTGCGTTTAGGAAATTGAACGCGGTGGAAATTGATAGAAAAATGTTGAATCGTTTAATATCGTCCAGAAATTCGGCCGAGAGGTTCCATTCCGAAATTGGACAGTGTCTCTGAGGGCTTAGTTAAAAATTCAACAAGTACGTGAGACCTTATTTCGCAACTCCATGCAGTTCGCAGAACTCGATTTGCAAATTTTATACAACCCGGGAGAGTTTATTTCGAAATTCAACGCGATCCTCAAAAGTTTACTTGGTAACGGTAATATTGAAAATTATAAAAATATTTTAGGTCGGGTGCGAGTAGAGTGCTGGCTGGAACGGTACCCTGCATCGATACTTTGTTTCGCAATTTTAAAACAAAATCATGGTCTGACAAAATAAATGTGTCTGCTATTGGGAAAATTTATATTCGCTTCTGAATTTAGTATCACATGTGTAGGATTTCTTAAATTATTTAATTCGAAATTGAAAACAGTTAATGAAGAGAGACTAGCAAAATATATTTATTAAACGATTTACTGCTTATACTGAAGCTTTGATAGCAAGGAATGTGAAGATATTAATTAAAGAAATAATCTAGCAAATATTGGCAAGCGAACAATTATAAATCTTCATTAAATTGTATCATTTATCTCTATTTTATTATATCTAATACTAAAATACGTCTACCTAAATGTAACATAAAATTACAAAGAAAATATCTCGACTGAAAATTACTAATTACTTCTGTAACGACAAAATATTAAAATTTACTATTTATTACTAGTCACCAATTCTGTTAGACGTAACAAGGCGAACAGTTTAAGTTCATAATAATTTATAAATTCCTTAAAATCATGGCAAAAACCGAATTTTTGAAGACCCTAAGATTATTCACATAAATTTAATAACATTTCACAAATTGCGAAGAAATGTTTAGAAGGTGGTGAAAAACGAACGTTAAAGTTTCGGTTAAAATTAAGTGGATGTAATTCGCATTTGGTTATCCGAGCGGCGAATTCTATTATCAGAACGCGAAATTATCAAAGAATAAGGCAAATTCCTACTCTCAGAATGAGTTCGTTATTCGGATTATTTTGTCCGAATTGTTCAAACATACGTGGTTGCATTGTAATGAATTTATTTCGTCGAAAAATTATTAAGAAGTTAAATCTTATCCATTGGATTTTTCCTATTAACGATCATTAAGTTGAAAACGAAGTAGACTATTCGTTCATTTTAAAAGCAATCCCGGAATCTGCATACGTTTTGTTTATGCAGTCAAATGTGCTGACAAGAACGATTAATCAAAGCCTTAGGAATATTCAACGCGACTTAATTTCAAATTTTTTATTCCGTCACTGGCACTTGCTCGTACAGATCAGATGTCGAATCCGTAACAGACTGGCCTAGCCTTAACATAATCATTCATGTGCTCAAAAATTATTCAGGTCAGATACATATGAGTCGCTTAGAAGCCAATGTGGTTAAGTCTAGAAAATAGAAATCGAGAAAGTCAATGTTTTCCAATAAGCAAAACGGCTTAATAGTAAATCATTTGATAACTAAAACGTATGTTATTTATTCCATTAAAATTTACAAAAGTCGGAAAATATCAGAAAATCAACTTGAACGCATTGGCTTCTGAGTGACTAATATAGTACAAGGCTATTTGAAAAATATTAACCCTTTGGACTCGAAGATTTCTTCGTTATGAAGATGCAATTCGAAGCTCTTCTTGGATTTTTATAAACTCACAAATACTCTTTATGCTAAAATTAAAAAAAGAAAATCATGAATTTGCGTGAGAAACGAACGAATAGAATAATTTTATTTCGATGTTCTTAATATAACTATCATCACTCATTATTTAAGTTATAGCATTAAAACAAACGGTGACTAAGAATCACCTCTCGAGTGCAAAAGGTTAACATCATACTTATACTCTAACTACGTCATGGTTTCACATCCTCCTCGTTCGACTGATTCAACATCCGTTCTCTAGAACGCTAGCTCGACGCTTGATCGAGCAGAGAAGCAAACGAAGGAGAAAAATCGATGTCTCGACTCACCGGTTGTCGCGCCTAGCACGATTAAGCGTGCCAGCTTTCGGTTCCTCCATGTAGAAGATAACGTCACCCTCGTTCTCCATTCGCTGGTTGTCGTTCTGGCCGCCAGCGTCGCCGGTGGCGCCACCACTGGACACGCCACCGGATATCGTGACCGGCGGCAACGACTGCTGCTGCTGCTGCATGTCCATCCGGTTCCTCGACTTCCGCCTCTTCAGTACGCTCGCCTTCTTTGCCACCTGGATCATCAGAGACTGAACCCCCGGTGCCCTCCCATTACAACACACGTCGAACACAACATGCACTATCCCTACTAGCGAGCGCCACAGCTCGGCCCCGAGCACGGATCCATCTGAAAAGCTCCCTATATTCCGCCACCGGCGGTACACCTGTGCGCCGAGAACTTAGACTCGCCGGCTGACACGACGCAGTTAGGTTGTAATTTTCAGGACATATACGGAGGTGGAAAGGGTGTTCGTTGGTTTCCGAGGTGTCCATGTTAGAAAAATAGTTAGGTTCAAGCTGATCTTGTTTGGAGATTCTGGAGATACGTATTCCAATTTGGAATAGTGGTCTCACATTTTCGTGGCATAGAAGATGACAAAGTTGAGATATTTATGCTTCGAATAATGAAATAAGTGATATCGAAATCATGGGATCCAGTGTACATTATTCCGAGTATCTGAGGGAAACTTATGATGACATAGAGTAGACGAAGTATTCCAAGACTGAGAGCTTGGCAACTTTAAAATTGTAGTAATTAATAGTCACCATGTTTAGAGCCATCATGATTTCTATGCTTAGAAGCTCATATACCTCACGATACCACGGTGTTTAGATGATTCAAAATTAGACCTACGATTTCGAGATGAGTCTCCCCTTCTCATAGTCACAGGTCTGGCAACCTAAGATGTGGTCTGAACTCTGAAATTTCTAGAATCGTAGTAGTTTAATTTAGTCGTAGTAGAATCTAATAGTTTCCATAATTCTACGATTCTCGAGTGGTCCAGTCTATTTATTATGGTGTCAAGCTTCCCTATCCCAGTGTCTCAACAGCTTTCACTACTTCGACACGTGTTTCGTAACTTAGTAATAACTAATTCCTCGTTCAACGATACCGAGATCACAAGACCGAAATTATAGTCGATTGTCGCTGTAAGGAAGGTCGAGGTTTGAGGACCGCAGTATTTTTTAATTCAGATCTCACGGTATGCCATGATAGGCGGCACATTCCTTTCATTTAGCGGTCTCGCGGTCTCGCTGTGGTCTATTCTGAATGCTTTGACACCACGATAGCGGAGATCAAAGTCTTAGGATCTGGAAATAATACCATTCGGGTTTCCAGTTCATAGGATCATGGATTACACGTTCCAGCAAGCGGTCTATCACGATTTTCCTACCGTTTGTACTCATAGATCCTTTTTAGGATTCGATTGAATGTATGATCCGCTTCATATTTCATAGGCAACTATGCACCCGGCATTCGTAAAAGTAAACGGGCACGGGTACATTGCTAGTGATCCAACAGTCCTTGCGATCAGATTATCGATCAGAATATCAATGTTCGACCAGATTAACCATACGGTTCTATCTCACTATGAGATTCCGCGCTAATTGTTAGCGCACAGCGATGATGACATATTGATAGCGTATCAGACTCTTGATGCGGTTGCAATGCCTGCGAAATGTGGGAACACTATTCCAAAATGATACGATCTTTATTCGAAATCCCTAAACACTAACCAATTACACGCTCAACGTTCTTCGTAACTCGGGAATCGATTAGAAAATTTCGAGATAATAATATGAATAGAATCTAGGTGGAAGTGTAGGTAACAGGAGGAACATTCGTGACAACTCGATGATAAATTGAAAAATCAAAAGATGTTACGTGCTATGATTATAACGTGTTTGAGGTTAACTAGCTACCCATGATTTGTGATTCATTCGGAACATTTTAGTCTATTTATGCTCACCGTTTTACCCTGTTCTGCAGTCCAATTGTGTACCATTAGAGCATATAAATTATTTTCCTCTCACTTCGATAGGAATTCGCGAGTATCACAAATACCTAATCGTTTCTAATTTCAATTTCCAAATCGTCTCTACGTTTAATCGTCCCTAAAATTATTAACTGGAAAATTTGCAAATTTTAGAAAATTCCATCGACATGGTACCAATAACAAATCCCATCATCTTGCTAAGTTATTTCTCGAAGAGGAAGGAAGCGAAACGAAAGCAACGAGCTCGATTGTGATAAAAACCTAATTACATGTCCCTCAAACAAGCGAAAAAGGAGGGAGAAAAAGAAACAATAAGGGAAAAAGGGTAGTTTCAAAACTTTTCGAGATTAATTAAATGGATGCCAGAAACTTGTTTAAAATTCCTTTTCGCGACATTTTATTACACCATTCGAAAAACTGCAATTGTCGTACGTGTGCAAGAGGGTGAGGGGTTGGAAAGAAAAAAAGGAAAGGCCGAAAAACGAATTGTTTACCGTAGGCTAAGATAAAACAAGAGCCACGAGGATGAATCCGTTCTTCCCTCCTTTTCAGGTTTATCGAATTTTTTTCCGTAGCTGGGCGAACCATCCCCTACGACGGTTACGTCGAAAACGAAACGAGTTTCCGGGCACGAATGACGAAAGTGGGTCAGCATCGGTTTTCAAACCTGCTTGCGGGGCCGGCAACATAAACTCCGTATTAACGTCATATTTTAGACTTCGCGGATTAAGCGCTTACGCAAGATCTTGAAAAGGAAATCGCGAGGGTGAAATTTCCATAATCGATACAGCCTGTTGGCTCGCGGAATCTTTACGCGGCAGCTTCGACGTTCAATGGGGTAAATCAAGTTAACCAGATCGAAGATGGAATTTTAAGACAAGCCGTGATGAGAATTTAAGACGAGCCGATGAGAATTCATAATTGCATACGTGCTATTAATTGGATATTAACTCGACAGATATTTCATACGTGACATTAATTGGAAATTTGAAATCCTTCGAGTGATTATAACGATAGAAATGTTTTTGCTACCTCTTTGCAGGGTTGGTTCTACCTGTCCTACCTGTGCGGTCGAAGTTTCTTTGCACTGTGTCAGAATTTATTTATAATTTGCATAATGGTGATATTTTTATTTCTTTTCTTACGGAATATTAATGTGATGATTTTCTTTGTGGTAATTTTAAAACTTATTTCTCATTTGAATGATAGTCGGAAATTTAAATACTATATTTTATTTATTTTTTAGTAGAATAACTTCATGTATGAAGTATTTCTATGCCATATCGATATTTATTCCTAAATTCCATAATAGAAATAGATTTAAATTCCGTATTTAAACAACTTTTTTACTAATGTGAATGGTTCTGGTACTGAACTGACAAGATAATGACACATTACGTGATATCAGAGGCAATGAAAATAAAATTTCAACAAAAGATTGCGTAGCACGATACGATGATACACGAACAAGTATATTTATAGCAATATTTTCATATTACTCGTTTAAAATACGAACAGAAATTATAGGAAAATGTTATCTCAAAATCACTATCGCGCTTATAAGCCAAAGACTCATACTACGATGAAACCTATATAGAGTACCGCGAATTTCCTTCGAAACTAGAAGATACAATCCTCAAATTATCCCGTTAACAGCTAAATAAAATCGATCGATAATTTGCAAAAGTATCGCGAAACCCGTTATTCGATCACTGTCTGCGACTAGACGTCGAATCATCTTCGACTTAGGCAATTTCAGCGAAATGGAAAACGACGGGTGTGCGAAGCCAAAGAGATGAAAAGCCGGGGGTAGAAATGAATAACCCAGCCGAGTGACGGGAAATCAGGAAACGGAAATGCGTTATGAAAGAACACGTGGGTGGGAAAATTCAGGAAGCGTCGCCGCGTTTTAGAGCGTTTTAATGGCCAACCCTATTTGCCAGCGAAAAAGCCATGAAACGTTTCGCGTGGACAACGAGACATTCTATCGCGATTCAGGAAACAATCGGGTCTCGACGGGAAGGAAAACGGCACCGGAAGAATTCGAGGGGCGATCGCGACAGCTGGCGAGCGTAAATTCTCCGTCCTCTCGGTGAGAACCACGACGCGTCCGTCTCTTTGCTTGCAGGCAGATGCGAAAATAAAATGGCCACACGTATACCGTGTACTGAATCGACGACGAAACGACTCTGACCCGAGATTGTCTCCGAAATGCCACTCGCGTTGTGATATTTCGTCGCTTGAGGATTTTTAAAATACCATCCTGCGTGAAAATGCGGTTTCCCATTGGAAATTGCCCGGTATATAAATGTTGATCAATCGAAATGCGGTTGGAAGTGGGATGTTATAACGCGCTGAATTTCAATCGACTGAAATGCGGTTTCCGATCGGCCATTGTGTGTATAATGAATTTTGATTAGTTGATATGCGGCTGATCGAAACTAGTACAATTTCGATGGAATTGTAGACTGTAAATTTGTAAGAGGAAACGAAGAATTTTCGTGTAGTGTGGTGTGGTGTGTACTTGCTGAATTATGTGTCGCTAACGGTTATTGATTAATAATTTAATAACAGTGTTGCGAGGTAATAGGGATGACGTTTACTCGCGTGAATTGGAATAATGTAAACAGTAATATTTCTCTGTGACAGACGTTTTATTTATGGTATTTTCTCAGCAGAGTCACTCGTCGTCCTCGGTGCACGTTGTACGTACAGGATGTCAATAATATCAAGAATACTTGTCACATTTAACATTTAGAGGAAAATGTAAAATTACCTGAATGTACGAGTGAGCTTTTTATTTCTAATTTATAGATCTATTTTAATTTCCCTCTTCAAATCCTAACCTCGAATCGTATTTTCTTTTATACAGACCCTTAAAATACATAAAATATGTTTCCCTTAAAGATACAGAGTATAGAAATCACTACGATTATATTTGCCTTTATGAAAGCAGAAAATAACAGGAAAAGATAAGAAAATTAGAAAGAAAATCAACGAAATTTACCTCGAAGCTTATCAATGACCATTAAGCAAAATTACACAACCTACCAAACTCGACTAGACATTTTCCACTTAAACACTAAAGCGATACAGATTGCTAATAAATTACTCGCACGAAGCTTCAAGCTTTAAATGTCGAAATAATAAAATATACGCGCGTTTACGATACTCTCTACTCACTTTGCTACCTAACTGATTACGGCGAAGAAAGGAAAACGAGCCAAGACGGTGTACGATCTATGAAGCAACTCCGAAGAAATATCCTCGACCTTCTCAACACCCTGTACGTGGAAGCAACCCACACGTATATATTGTACGCAGAGACACGACAAACAGAATTCAAGCGCATGCACGATAGTACGTAACACAATGACACCACGTTGCATAGCACAGATAATCGTCACTTTCGAAAATTCAAATGGTGAGACGAAGCTTGGTAAGTGCAATAGAAAATAAAAGAACGAAAAAAAGAGAAAGGAAAAAAGAAAACGAAAACACAATAATACAGACACATAGAGAAATGAGCATAAGTATATACGTCGAATAAACGAGTCCCTTCGTGGATCGTCGATTAATCTTTCGAGCTAATTAGGGTTGCCGATCATCGCGCCCAGCCTTCTCCGATACTTGATTTACGAAACAACAACGATCCACGAATGCGACATACACGACCCCCACGTGTTCTAATTACTCGTCATAGTGATCAATGCAAATTGCTTCAAAGCTTAAATCGCTAAAAAGCGTATTAATCAGATATTATTGTCATTTTTGGGGACGATGAACGCGATCGACTCGATGAAATTACATATTCAGATAAATGTAAATTATCATCGAAAATTCACGTCCATTTTTAATGAACGTAAGACGAAAATATCGAATGTGAGATTTTCGAAAACCGGATTCATCTTTGCTTTTGTATATATAGATACGTGTGTGTGTGTGCGCGCGCGTGTGTGTGTGTGAATTATTGGAAGCTAAAAGTGATTATCAGGTAAGAGATATTATAAGAAGAAATTTCGAATTGGTACATTCAACAGACTCGTGTGTGGGCAATGGTTCCGCAAAACGCGACATGTTCCCGTTACGTGACAAAGAAATGTGAATAATAATTGATAAATAAATAAACATGCAAAAGAGTAAAAATTGAAATAAATCTAAATAGCCTTTACATACCATCTTCTTTACACAAATCAACTGAAATATACCAGGTACATTTTATATATATCGTATCAGACGAACGCTGATTTTATATACATTATATAAATGGAATTAATAGAAATCGCGACGGATGAACGGATGAGAGAAGAAAGGACGAAAAAGAAATAGCGAAGACGATGGGGTGTAAGTACGCGCGAATTTTTTGGCAGCAGATGCGAGAAATGTTCCTCAAGTAGAATTTTTGTCATTTATTTACTTTCTTTCATTGAAATATCCAAAATTTTCTGTGTTGATTTATACATTTTACTTGAACCTCAATTCTCCCTGATTTGTCCCGAACTTGAATATATTTACGAAGGAATTTAAAAATAGTTTCATCTACGTTTTTGATAAATTTGAGAATTTTATTATTCGTCGAATTATCCTTTTTCGAGTAATGATTTGATAGCTTTAATATAAAATAATTTTGAAAATTTACGGGCATTGTATTCGATGGCAGATTAGCAGAAATGAATAAAATTTGCAACGGGCGAATAAAGTATCAGCGAATGAAATTGTCCAAGCAAAATAATTGAACTGCTAATGACGCACTAAAAGAAAGAAACTAGCAACTAATTCAAAGAATATTAAGAATGAAAGAAATTGAAATACCAACATATCACGAACGAATGCGATTGAGAAGAGAATTTTTATATACAATATTTATACATTTGTCTGGAGCTTATATATGTACACGAGTATATGATACAATCTAAATTCAGTCATGTCGATCACTTGACTCGAAAGTTAATATTTCTCTCTTTTTTTCTTTTTTTTTTCTTTTTTAATAATAGATGCGAGAAGCGATTTGCATAACAGGTACAATCGATCGATCGAAGTTTTGAAAGCAAATTCTGTGAGAGAACGTAGATATCGTGGAGAAATGAAAAGATGATTCCTCTAGATCTTCCTTTTATAAAACGTTGCATGATACACTACGAAGAGAAAGTATAAATAAATATAACTAAGCATTCACTTAAGTAACAGGTATTCGATATCGAAATTTACAGAAGATTCATTCGTAGCGTAATCGAACGAGAGATCATCTTTCGAAATAAAAAATAGATTTTCCGATCGGAAGCACTGAATATTTTCAACGGTGTTTACATAAAAAAAGGAATTCAAGAAAGAAAATTCTAATTAGCTTTCTTTCGACGTGCGACCACTATTAACTTTTATACAGTATCTTGAGAAAAGTAAACCATAACCTCGAAATTACTTTAAATTAGTTTTTGAAGTGAGGCAAATTTTGAACTTTCTTAATCAAATTTTCTGAATTATTGCACTCCCGAGTCCTGAAACCCGTGATTCAGTATTTTACAGTTATTAAATTCGTACCTGTGTGATCTGAGAAATACGGAGATCTCTTTCAAGATTGAGAAAAATAACCCGAGTACTAGACAAATATGAATCCGTTTCACGAAGGAAAGAATATTAAATAATTTTCGATATCAAGTATTCCCAAATTAAGTTCTTCGAATTCCTCGCCTCGCATGTGATTAAATAAACGACAAAAACATCAAAAAAAATCAATGAACAACAAGATCAATTTTCTCTCACGAATCTACAAAGCTATCGATCAATGTCTCGAATTTTTCATTAAATAAATATCCACGCGAGAACGATTTTTTCTCAAATTTTTATTCGCCTGGAAAAAAGAAAGAATAAGAAAAAGTTATCCCTAATTCGATTACACCGCAAGTTAGACCGTGTTTGGGAAATTTATCCGACGAACGAAGCGGAAGTTAACGCTGCGTTAAGTGACAACCGATCTCCGGAATGAAGATCGATACGATCCGTTTTCTAAACGACACCGAAACGAATGCAACAGAAGAGGGTTGAGAAAACAACAGAGAAGCGAGAATTTCGAGAAACTGGAAAGAACGAATAATATAATAATACAAAAGCTTCCAAGCGTAATTTGAAACTGCATCAACACACGAATAATCACGAGCAACACTCATTTATAATGATATCTCGGATATTGAACGGCACATTGAAAACACAGAGCAGAATTCGCATTCTCTGCTTGCATCCATCCACTGCCAAATTATCTGCATGATTTTGCGGGATAATCGTAGCCCCGCGATCGATATCGAAATCGCAATGGAATTTCGCGTATCTCATATTTGCATTCACGATTTTCTCCTTTATTTTCTATCTTTTTTTCTTTTTCTTTTGTTTCCGTTTTTCGTTCTCTTTTATTTTCTTCTATGTTCTTCTTTTTATGTCTTGTCTCGGTTTTAGTGGAATTCGCGAATTATTCGCGATTTCAACGATAATCAGCGAATTCACGTGCCAACAGGTAGCTTCAGTCGAAACAACGTTTACTATCTTCGATACCAAACTCGAACGAGAACTCTGATGGAAGCAGGTTGATTTTAAAATCATGTTGGAAAATTGTGGATGTATAATTTGGAAAATTGCAACTCGTTCTAATTGCGCTGTTATCTACCTATAAAAGTATTTTGAGTAATTATTTCTTATTTATTAAAATATTTATCAGAGTAGTTTGCAAGCTGTCAAATGACAATCGTGACTTTAATAATTTCTGTTTCATTTCAAAAACTAAGTATGTCTGATTATGTTAATTATATCGAGCTTAAAAAGCTTGGAAACATAAATTACCGATATTTTGAGCGTATTGATAATTTTCAAAATGTTTCTGAATGTATTAAACGTAAAACAAAATGTTTATATATTTATGTTTAAAGCAATATATTTTTTGTTTAATGATCCTAATTGTGATCGCGTCTGTAATTTCCAACGTCATTTTAAAAATACCTTGTACATACTGACTCGAATAATCTCGGTAACGTTTAACTCAATCCTTTAGAGAATAAAACGGTTTAAAAGATGCAATTAGAATTAATTGAAAATTAGTGCTGTACTCGAGAATTAATTAAAATAGTACTGTTATTTTTTGAAAGGTGCCAATGATTAATGGCTGAACCTTGTAACAAAGTGAAAAGAAAAAAATTTCTTTCGCAACTGGTACGAATTAAATTCCTCCAATTCGGTGTAATTTACCGAGATCAAACGAGCCACGCCGTTCTACACACGGCAGGAAAATCAGATGAGCTTTCAATTCTGACAAAGGAACGTTCAGAACTCAAAAACAGGAAACTAATTCGATGCTTCTTTTCATTGTTAACACAGATACGGATATATGTTACTGTAACAAAATTTCATACGAATATTTTACTTTTGAATTTCGAAGAATGAAATATTTCCTCTGACCACTGATACTTCAAAGTAAACTATTCTCCATTCTTCACGCTTTTTGTTTCGTATCTGATACTTTTATTCTCTTCAGAGATGTTTCCATTCAATTTATATACTCGGCATAAGAATGAAAGCACAATCTTGGACGTACACGACTTTTAAAAGTGTACAGTGCTCAAAGAAGTAAATACAAATCACTATTCAACATATACCACATATACAATTATTTAGAACACATTATATATCTATTAAAAAAAAGACGAAAATGTTACGTTAATCCATAAAATAACAATTCAATGTCACACAAATCCCAAATTTATATCAAGTACAAATAAAACAAACCCTATGAAAAACCAGAATGAAAATTGATCTCTATATAAACATTTACCACGTCCCTGTTAGATTCTACATATATATTTCTGTAATCATATTAACATCCTATTTTCCTCACTTTTTCCTTCCAAACTCATCCTCTATGAAAACGCATAAAGCACAAAATCCAATAATTCGAGCTAATTCACTCAGCAACCCGTAACACGAGCAACACCAGAGCAGGTTCTCAACATCGACACATAGGTAACCATCCACAGGTAACATTTTACAGTAACATCCACCATGATCTGTCGAACGAAAGCGCAACATCAAGTCAGTTCCCAGTCGTGTTATCCTAAACGTTCCGCCATCGAAAGCAAAAATGACTGAAACGATCCCGGCGCAAAGAACGGCAAAGAACGAATATCGCAATCGTCGGCGTCGGATCAGACAGCCGAGGAACATCGTAAGCAACTAGAAACAACAACAATCAACGGCTATAGTAGCTACTGCCACTGAACTCGGGCGAAAAATCGCGAGAGCTTACCTTTCCCAAAGGCGTGGATGGCTGTCCGGTGGGTGCTGGATCCTTGATGTAGATGTTCCACGTGGCGACGCTGTTGATGGCTTTGTCCGCCGCGTAACACCTCCACAGGCATTGTATCAACATGGCGGCTGCGGGTATCTGCCTGTTGAAGTGTTTCTGTCGTTGCTTTTGCTGAACCTTCAGCGCGAAACCGGAACCCAGTATTCCCTGAAAAGAGAATTTCCTGATTATTTTCGGTTAATTATCGCAGTAACAATTTACTGTTTATTAATCAAACTGGTGGTCCCTGTTATTATTTATAATTATAATTTCATTTTCCAATTATTATATTTTGAATTTAAGACTGGGTCTTATTTATATTTCTCTTCATTTTATTCTATTTTACTAATGATGTTTCGAGTTTTGTATTTTCATTCTTGTATTTAAAAGTATAATTATTTTTAGGTGACAGCAGAATATTGAAACCTTATCTATATTTTCATGGATAAATATTTTTATATGCGACGTGTATTTGCGAATATTTACATGTTAAGTAATATTTGAGCCGTTCACTGCACAAATCGATTAACTCTTCCAGTAACATAAAAATGGTAGCAATACTAACGACTACCTTTTGGCTATTTTTTCTTATAAATTTTATACACCGTTAGTTGAAAGTTACATTTGTATTTATGCATTCTACGATATTTATTTCGATTTAAATTATAAAGGGAATTTTAAAAAACAATATACATTATTTCATTGCATTTCTCCACTTTTTGTTTTACGGAGTTAATCAATTTGTGCAGTGAACGGCTCATTTAAGTGTATAAAATATTGGTGATAGTGTCCGAAATCCGAATTAATAGTATTCGAGATATGTAAAGCTACCCAAAATTTTATAATCGTAATATATCTGTGTTGAAATATGAATTTCTGGGATACATGCATAGGATTATACTTACGGCTGGAAGTGCGAAAAAGGATATAGCGAAAACGCTAAAGCACGAAGCGACTATCTTCCCCATCCACGTTTGAGGAACAGCATCACCGTAACCGATCGTGGTCACGGTAATCTAGAAGAAAACAAAACAATTTTTCTCTCATTACCCAAAGCACTTTACGCGAATAATGGAATTTTTATGTTAAAATTATCCATAAAACATTCTTAAGAAATTTTTAAACAGAAAATGAGCCGAAGGCACCTCCATTATATCCCACTTACATTATTAACACCACATTTTGTCAGAGGAAAAGTTGAAAAATATTTTCGTCTCCAAAATCATGCTGTTTTAATCAAACCAAAAATAAGCCCACAATTTCATTAAAAATCTCTCAGAAGCTGGCAAGAATATATACGAAACAGCGTTCGAAATGACCAAAATTATAGTCTTTTAAGTTAGTGTTTTAAATAGTCTTTTAAAGAAACGAGGCACCAATGTTTACATTAACGTGATCAGTTAAGTGGTTTGCAGCTATTGGTCTATTTTCTTGAGTTTCAGGAACTAGGACCTCATTCCTGCACTCTTTTCATTCCAGAATTCCAAAACCCCTTCAGGACCAAATCATTGGGTCCAGGTCTTGATCTGCTTACGCATTCATCACGTGCAGTCATCGTATTCGGTATCTCGTGTCTTTTGACGGACTATAGTATGAAAATAGAACCAATAAAATACCCAAAAACAAGAACTACGGAATTACAGAAGAGTCATAGAAGAAGAACCACGTACAATTGTAAAATCGACACGTCAACTATCAGAAATCCTACGAACAAACACAACGAAGCTATCCCCAGTGAATCGAGGAGAGAAACACAAAGTCATCGCCATCAGCTACGCGGATAATTTACTAAAACCCGTTCTCGACGGTCGGGTGGCGCGGTAATTAACGCCAAATTGAAAAACAACCTAATTAAAATTTTAATTCCGCCGCGCGTCTCTTTCGGTCGGGGGGCGGCAGGGTGAGGGAACGATACCAATCGAACTCCCAATCGACGCGCGATTTTCCTCCTGGAAAATCGGACAGCGGTTAAATGTCGGCAATCCACAGGGCGACGTTAATCAAGCTCACATTTAAATCCTCGGCCTCGGTTTCATCGATCCCCGTCCCTCGCTGCTCATTCGACAACGGCTATAAATACAGACATATTTTCCGAGTGATTAGCGGCCGTCGCTGGATAAACACGCGTCCGTACGATCGAGTAGATCGGTTCGATTCGTTTCGGTGGAATCGCCAGAAATCCGTGGTCCGAATTAATTATTGGCGTTAATAGAAATCGAACGAGGGAGACGGGAAGGGATGAGACTTATTAAGTGGAGCCACGTGAATGAGACTGGATATATAGTCTGGTACCGTGATGGACGTTGCGAAGTTGAAAGAGATTGATGATTAACCCTAATGTGGAATTCCAGGGATATTCGTGATTTTTATTGGATAATTGTCCGTGCTGCGTTGGGTGTATTAACACTAGAACTACCGATCTTTAATGGGTACCTAACTATAACGTGCATAGATTATAGTAATTTCAGCGGTACGTTGAATATAAGTGAATATATTGATTACAGTTCTTTCTTAATATGAGTTGATACCAATTTTATTCTTAAAGCAGGTGTATGTGTTCGATGATTGCAAAAAGGAAAATTCTGGGACCACTCATTTCGACTGGATTGGTAGTTTTTGTGTTAATGTGACTATATGGTAGAATGTTATACAGGTTTGCAATCTAGGAAGGATTAGAAATTTGTCGAATAGGATTGATCGTCAAACCTTATGTGACATTTAAAGGATTATAAGAATGTTGAAGATATTCAAAGACTATTGGACGGGGCTGAATTATTTAAAGGTTGTACTACTTGAACGACTCGTACCAGTTTCAATTTCCATCCGGGATTTTACTTAAATTACTTTTACGAGGATATATGGTATGCTTGAAACTCTTAAGAATGAGATTTACGAGTTCGAGAAAGGTACAGAGAAGTTGTAGAAATTTCTTATTAAATTCACGGTCGTTGAAGAATGACTCGAAATAAAATTCATTTAATTACTATGTTTATATTGTCTGCCATTTAACTGTATCATCCAGGCAATCGAACTCCGATGTTATCTATCGATTACACTCGACCAAATTAACTTGCTGGGTGCTTCATATAATTGGTATCCCATTATCTTGTCAACTAATTTAACAGCGAATTCTGCATCTAAACTCTGCCAATAAATACCCCAAATAGATTCCTGACCAAACACGCGATTAGATTTAAAAAAAAGAAGAAAATTATTTTTATAATTCTAGAACTTTAACGAAATATAGCCACCGAGAAAAATAAACAATTTTTCCTTTATAGAAAATTGATTCCCTCGCAACTGAACCTATATAAGTACACAAAATTGTCACACATCTATTATAAATTCTTATAAAACGAAGCTGAATAAAAAAAATAAAAATTGTTTGGTTTAAAATTTATTCTTGAACAAATAAAAGAAATATGCATTTTAAAATGAGAAAATTCACTCACCACTCCCCACCACAGTGCATCGGCGTAGCTGGAAAAATCTGTTTTTCCATCGGGTCCGACAACATCTTTTTCGGCAAGATACACGAAGTAGCTGCTGAAAATAAGACCCAGGAACCCGATGTACAACGTCGTGAGCAGCTCCTGGAAAATATAGGATCACGAACTTTTAACGAGATCGAGACATAGTGATTTCACGTTTGACGAACGCAACATTTTCCCGGCAATATTATTTCCCGTAATAGCAACGAATAGAGGAGGAGCCAAAGGATCGGGGTCAATTTATCCGCTACGCGAACAATCGAAGCTTGTTTGTCATTGGGATTGAAAATCGAGCCATTCAGTCGGTGATCCGATTAACTTTATATCGAATAATCTTCTGTTTCCCGACGGTCTTTTCGAAAATCGTGTTTGTAAAAGAAATGGAGCAATGTTCAATTCGATTCATAAACTCGATAATTATTTCTAAACGATTAACCACGAGATAATAATTATCTCGAGTTATCGACATTGTCCAAATATATACGTGTAAAAGAATACGATAAATGGATTTATTTGTAAAAAGTTCAATTTTATAAGAGAATTGGAAATTTAATTTCTCAATTCGATTATTAGTAATCGTTACGTATTTTATTATAATTTTACCGAATGAATGTAAATTTTTGGAAAACATTAGTGGAATGTGGATAAATATAAAAATGACATACCTGACGATGAATAAAAACGACAGAGCCGAGAAGTCGCCACGTGCCGCCTTGTCGATCGACATGAAGCATTCGCAGTATCTGCAAAAATCGGATGCCTCTTATGGCAGAAGTGGCAAACACTTGACCGTTGCTTCCTACTGACAACACCACCATGGACGCGACCACCACGATTAAATCTGGAAAGGCAAAAATCAACGACCACTGTTAGAACAGCGATGTCAATTCAGAAAAGAAGAGAGCAACATGTATCAATCAGGCCGCCTTATTTTGCATAAACGATGATGCGTAACTGATCCACCTACGTTTACGTAGATCAAGTTTCGAGAACTCAAATTTCGCTGCTCGCACTTCAATTTGCAAGTGCGAATGCCAAATATTCCACGCGATGTTCGATCGGCTCTGATCAGCAGATATTTCGAACCAATCGCGCATCGATAACTAACAGCATTGATGAAATCACCAGAGACACGAGATTCCGGCAAACAGTTTTGACATCGAGCAGGTTTCGCCTTTCGACACAAAGAGATTGCATTTCCGGTCTAATACCAACCACGACAATCGGTCAACGCGAATATTGGATTAACCCTCGGGCATCGAGAGCTAATTGAACCGGGACCAGACGTACATTAGCAAAACGCACCCACCTATGATACAAATCGGTTTCCGTATGAAACGGAGTCTGCCGCAGCAGCCCATATACTTCGACCTGCAGCCCGCGCTCCATAGCCTCACCAGGTACTCCACGCCGAAGAACACCACCAAACATATTTCCTGCGAACAAAGAAGGAAGGCATAATGTAGGATAACTCGATTAAATTCGTCAAACTTTAAATCAAAAATGTATACAAAAGATGTAAGACTGCATGTGGGGGAATATATCTCTCCAATATTTACAGATAGGTGGATGGTATCTACGATAATCTGAAAGCTGAGTAACCGAAGGTTTCAGACAAAAATAAAGAGGAAATAAAAGTATCTTGATATACATATACGTATCATAGAAATTTATCGTATGGAGGTGCCAGTGTAGTTTTAATTTATAAAACATGTATAAATTATCAAATTTATTATTAATAATAAATTAATAATGCTGATAACAAATTGCTCGCAATCTAAATTTATAATAAGAATGAAAAAATTAATAAAATATTGACAATTAATAAAATTGGTGATACAGAATAAGAAGTGTTTAAGCCATCGAATATGACAGTGAAATTTTAAGTAAATTAAAAATAAATAAATTTTAAGTAACCCTATCTATTTTGTCTCCGTCATCATTGTGAGGTAAAAGCACTGACTGAGTCTGCATTGAAATAAAAACTGTGTCAACGTATCCCAAAAACATTCTACAATACAAACTTTCTTAATTAATTAAATGAAATACGTTCACGAATTAATAGCATTTCGTGCAAAATACCTAACCCTGAGCGAAATCTATCAAAAATATCTATCGATCCATTATGGACACTGTTCTCTCGTAGCTTTCGAATTTATGGAAAATATTTGAAAAATTTCCCTTTTCTGTTCTCCAAAGTCCTTAAAAAGAAAATTAACTCATTGTTCTACTCTTTTAGCGTGAAAAGCGAATGTTGAAGCATATGAAACGGCATAAAAGGAACAGTAATTTAAAAAATATAATTAAGATTCAATTTAAACAATTTTTCTGAAAAAATGGGGTGTAGAAAAGTTATTACTTAATAATACCCTGTTTGATTCTGTAACCACATGCCATATATTCTTCCAATTCAAGTTCCATTCACCTCTCTTTCCATTTCACGCAACATGAACGGCACTTTATTTTGCACGTTGCCTTGGAAACCTCTTTTTTAACAGAAATTTGAATGGCCCATTAGATTCGAAGGTAAAACTCTTTTTAAAGAACATTCTCACCCAAAGTTTCATGCCTTCCAAAGATTGTTATCGCGTGACCATTTTCACTGGATATTCGTCACCCATATAATAATTCATCTCGGAACATACTTTTATTCCTAATTTTACTTTTAATACGAATTTAGATTCTCATAGAAATTTTTAATACGAAGTCGCTATAATAAATTAAAACGAGGAAAAGTAACAAAATTAATACACGTAAAAATAATTTAAAAAAGTAAAAGCAATAAAGGTAGAAATATAAATAACAACAGTAAATAATTGAATATTCGTACATGTAGGGATACGTTTCGATTGGCAAATATACGGAATAAAGGATATTGTTAATTCCAATACATATTATTTATGAGCTAAAGAGACCTAAGAGTAAAGTGACAAGCTAAAAGATTAAACTAAATACACTATCCACACTCACACTCTTCGAACTCTCACCGACTTTCTTTCAAAATTCGTGTATACTCTCACCGACAGGACTATTCCAGGGCTAAATAAGATTCTTTCAAACCAAAATCTCACCTTTTGCAAATCACCCTTCAATCTCCCTATAATCTCCCCAAATTTCCTTCCAAATCTTATCGTTCATTGCACACATACATGTAAAGATATATTTTTGATTGGCAAATATAGGGAATCAAAGATGTTATTTTAATTCCAATATATTTTATTTACGAGCTAAAGAGACTTAACCCATTTGCATCATGGCTCTACTTAAGGTGCCGTGTTCAGGCATCAGCGACGTTCAACTGACGACTAGCCCGTATCACCGCGCCCATATCAGCACCTACTTATAATGGCAGTTAAAAGGATTTTCACATCAAAAGTAAAACTTGTTAAGAATAGAATGAACTGATGTAGATGAGATGCTCACAAAAGGGATCAAACGTGATCTGTGGCATATGAAGAATATTCAGCAACTGATAACGGAAAAAGTCAGCTCGCGGATTATTCCGCGTTCGGTGATAGGCGACAGTCGTAGCACGCGGAATATTCCGCGCCCGGTGATAGATGATAGTCGTGGCTCGCGGAATATTCCGCATTTGGATGCAAATGGGTTAAGAGTTGTAAGAGAGGTGATCATAGTTTTCTATGACACCACTCCAAATATTCTGTCTCCAAAGGAGAGGTTTATTAAGTGCGGTAGTATCTTCTTTGTTCCCGATGATGGGCGGTTGTTCCTGTGGTGCTGGCCTGGTGGTATCCCCGTAGTCATCGTTGCTATTGATGGAGTAGCAGGTAGAAGGACAACGGGAAAAGGAAGGGATGCATTTTGTCCCGGGCCTGCTAGTGGACTCATCAGTAAGGCTTGCTACTAGCAGGCCAATCCAATTCCAATTTAACATACGTTTAATGCGCCAGAAACAATAATATACATATAAAAAAAGAACCAAAACGTACAAAAGGGTTACAAATGGATACTTTAACTATGAGATTGATGGTTCCAGCGTGAAGCACTCGCGATCTAGACCTAATCCAGTTTAATTTACCGCACTTACGGTTATAGGGTAATATAGGGTTTACCTATGTATAGAAACGGCATGAAAACTATACAGCGTTTGGTTTTCTCTTCTAGCAGACCCTGCCTTAGACCAGGGATACTTAGGTGTCACAGGAACTTTTATTTAAGGGAAGTCGAGGCTTCACCGAGGACTTGTGAGAAAGTCCTCGAACCTCCTTCAAGTAGAAATCCATCTATTAGCAGAAGTGAGAATTTGGCGGCTACAGAGTGAAAATGCAAACTAAAAGACTAGCCTAATTACGCAATTCACACTCGCACGTCAACTCTTCGAACTGTCACCGACTCGACTTTCTTTCAAACCTTGTGTCGCACTTTCACCAAGAGGATTGTCTCAGGACAGCCCCCGCACCCTCATTTAAACCTTGCACTATGTCTTCTTTCATACTCAAGCTTTCTTCCTCAATCACGCATCATAGCCTTGCTCTCGATGGGTCACGTATCCTAAACATTGAGGTGTCTTTCGCTCTTCACTTGCATTCCATGCACTCGTCCTTCCACGCGCACTTCATGGGGCACCCTATGTTACTGAACCCTAGGTTACTGTCTATTGCCCCTGGCCAGCTAGACAAGCTCAAGGGTTCCTTTGCACTAACTCTCACACTTACAATTCCTACATACATACGAATGTAGGTGAACGTAGTGAACGAATGATGAAATAAATTTGATTGCCAAAACCATAAATTCGAATAAAAATTTCGTTTAAAAATTTCTTTGACGTTTAATTATTTGCATTTCGTTTTTAACGTTTTAAATACTTTATATCGTGTTCCACGTAATAAAGTATATCCTGTTTTATGAAACAAAGGCGCATTTCCAATATAACTTTTACGATTTCATGTTTTGCGAATCTCTTTCACAGTAACGTTTGAAAATAACAGAGTGCGGTATAAAAACGATAAGTAAACTTTAATATATTATAGTGACAGGGTGGTTGTTAAATAATAAAAAACTATTTATTAGGAATAAAATAATAATGCAATGTGCGGTTACGGTAAAGACTACGAATATAAATATATCAACTAAACTCTTACAACTACAATTAACAACACAATTATAAATAACAACACGATTACAACTCACTGACCCACCATAACTGTGGAGGTGGAAATTCTGTGATACTACAATATAATGTAGGATTTTTGGCTAAATTAATCCTATGCAGATAGAGATCTGCGCGTTTAACGAACAATAACTCTCTTTTTATAACAAAACAGGTTTTACTTAACTAAAATATTACACTAAGTTCTCACACGATCCTCTATTCACTATGTCTCTATACACATTCAACCTTCTAACTCAACTCAAATCTACCTATTTATGACTTCTCAATTCTTCTCAATTCTGCCTGCCACGCGGCCTTGCATCCTTACTTGACGCTAGGTTTACGGACGCTACCTGTATACCTATTTCTGAGGACATCTGCCAAATTGACAGGTAAAGGAAACCACGTGCCTTTTTCTTTTTTAACGATTAGTTTAATTTAAAAACAATTATATATTATATTAACAGTCTTAATATAAGTTAACTAAATCTGTTACCATCGTACAATTGGAGCAACCCTTTCGTCAAATTGACGGGTTCCGTAAATCTAGTGTTAAAACCAAATCTATCTCTTTTCATACACGTGCTTTCCTTCTCAATCATTCAACATAGTCACAAACATTTCGACAAAGAATTTCGCGCTATCGTTTGTTCTTTCACCCTGAACGCACGAGTCAAACCTCATAGAGCCGTTCGCTACCCCTTGCTTTTCAAGAAGCCGTCCAAACGTTTCCATGCACTCCCTTAGAAGTAAGACCGCACACCCATTCGTCTCGCTACTACTCCTAAGTCTTTGCACTCGACGATTTTTTGGCTAGAGAAGAGTAGAAAATCAAAGATTCTCTACTAAAAAAACTGACGATACTTTTTTGAGCAGTAAATAAAGAATTGCATAATAATAGAATTGTAGAATTATTTGATTTCGATACCTCGTACACTGTTACGTTACATTAAATTTGATATATTAATTAATATCGATCTTCCAAATTTTATTAAATGGTGACTGAAAGTCACCTCTCGAGTGCAAAGGGTTAATACATTGTTAGTGTCCTTCACTGCTCATCATCCTACTATAATGTCTCGTAATATCCGTAAATAATAAGTTTCATACTTAGCTTATAATTATCATTTCATAATTATCCCTTTTCATATACTCATTATTCGCGAATGCAATAAAGGATAGTCACCGATTTAATTTTTACGTAATATTTCATTATTTCTCTGAAACATTTTGACAAAATCTTATCAATAACACAATTTCAATAAAATAATTATTTTTCTGTTGTACGTGACAATATTGCATTTCCAAAATATGGAGTTACTA